GCTTGTCCGAATCACGAATACGGATAACTTTTGCAATAAATAGTTGGACTAACTTCCGTTCGCTTGACGAAACGAAATAACCCATTTATCGTTTTCTTTTTTTTCGATCATTGAGCTTGGATCAGGATCTAACCCAATTCTCTGTAAAAGGGGATATCTTCTACGTTCTTACCTGTTGAAGGAAATCCATGATAAGATATTAAGGTAAGAATGTTTTTAGATATACTCAGCGGTGATGCTAAATTTTGGACATNGTTATTCAGCTCTTCATGTGGAAATTTGTGTTTTTGAGTATAGTAACGGTTTGAACGTTCCATTTAAAATGGTTAGATATTTATGTATCTATTTCAGCATATCTCTTTGAATCAATACATATAAATAGCACGGTTAAAGATATATTGAATTATACATACTTTCCTTCAAACTTGTTTTTTTTTAGAATTTAGTGAATTGGGCAAGTAATAATTTTCAATTGATATTGTTTTTTGTGTAGATTATGCGCATTTCTACCGTTATTTTAATTATAAAACTGTGAACAGCACCCTCTCCAATTACATATATGGCAGTTGAGATTGGGACGTATTGGCGGTAGATGATAGTTGAAGATGATGGAAGAGAAAATGGCAAATGACTTTTATCTGTACAACTTCTCTGCACCCAACTAACAAACAGACATCTGGCGAATTGTCAGATGAAAATATTGTGAATTTGATTGTTGAATGACAGTCAGTCGCGAACCACCAGGGTGTATCGAATTGTGTTTGCAGTACTGGCAGTGTCAACATAAATAATATTTGGAGGTTCGTCAGTAGTGGAGATATTGCTGAAGATGACCAAACAGTTCAGCTCTCAAATATCCACTGGAAAGTCTTAGTAAAATCCATTTCCAGTGAGTGACAGTGAGAGAAACACAGTATGAGTTGTGGAGTCTCAGAGATGTGAAGGATTTCTGAACAAATGGAGTCAAACCAATATTAAAATAAAACATCTATCGGGTTTTGCCTACTCTGAACCCAGTGGTTTTGTGACAAGGAAAACAATAACCACAACCACCAACTTGCGACATTTGGCGCGGATACTCATTTCCGCCAAATCCCATTATATTCGCTTTATTTGTGAAGATCACCTTTGTGTGCCAATAACGTGTTGATGCAACTGTTGCTCTATCTTTTCTGATTCAACCATCATCACGCCCACTAATGTGTTGCTTAGCTGCTATATTGGTAAAGGAAACACTCATTTTTTCAAACAACCATGGCAATTATGATTATTGGTGAGTTGGAAAAACCACTTCACCACTTCCAGCAAATTTTTATTTTGAAAATGTTTCCAATTGAGCTACCACCAGAGATGGTTGTCACTACGATCAATGGGCTTTTAAATAATGGAGTTGATGTTGTCAAGTTGCTTGATGAGTTCAAAATTGATAATGTGATGAGGTCAAATCCCAAGTCGTTTTACCCAATTTTGTTAGAATTGATTTATCACATTTTAGATCATCCAAACCATCATTCATCTAAAATTTTTCTAGACTCCAACCTGCTTGGTCACTTTGATGAAACATTATTATTCATCAAAATCTTGTTTGCTCAAATCAAATCCAGCAGCTCAATTGAGGGCGTTCGTCTATTTATAAACAATTATTTCAGCGGCTCAGCATCCAAACGAAACATCACCAAAACACCTAAAACTGATATTGCAATGTTGGGGGAATCATTCCACACAACATATATCAACCCGATGAATAAAGGTCACAAATTTATAACTCATTTAGTTCAAACTATAAAACTGCTAATGCAACATTATAAAACTCAATCGCTCTCTAACTTGTACCCTTATACATGTATGGTAAACAGCACCATCATGGGCAAATCATGAAGTGTCAGCAAGCTCAAGTCTCATTTCAATATTATTTATATTTGCTATCGGTCAGAATCTGTATCAGGGAGGTACATCTTTCCCCCAAGTAGATTTGCCAGAGCTATTGACAAAATAAATACATTAACATACGAAAAAAAATGCCGTCCTTCCAAGGTTGAACGTGGGTTTGAATGCATGCTATATTATATTTTGGAAATTTATTTTGCAAAACCACATAGTTTTGAAAACCAATGGAACCAATCATTCTCTTCTGAATCAACTGAAAACAAAACAATTAATATAGTACTGCAAACACATACAGGATCATTGGACTGGGTATTGCTCGGCAACAAATTACAACAGACAAGTCACTATCAAAATCCAGTGCAACTCTTGGTGGTGTTTGATGATCCCAATATTTAAGTGAAGAGCATCGTTAACAATAGAAGTGATATTAGTCATAATATCGATCCCACTAATTTTTTTCCGTGCTTCACGCGCTGCTTAAAAAATATTTCTCACAATCTTAATGTATTTGACTTGTTCCTACATACAACTGCCAAAATATCCAACTTCACCCCCGCCAATATTCATCACCCTTCAAGCAAATTAGCTACTGCAACTGTATCGCTTTACAATCCAATATTTCAATTTCCTACTTGGGCATTTACAACATCAGTTTTCACTCAAATAAACCTGTTTATGATGAATCCAATAACCTATGCTTTGGAAGACCCATGTGCTTTAACTACTTAAATGTGTCTGAATTTTCTTATCATCTAATCATTTCGATTGCCAGAACCAAGCTTTCTACAGCTATGAAACAAATCAATTGCTCGATAAATCCGCTGACTCAAATGTTTACAGATCCGCATATCAAAGCATTGGCTGGGGTTCTATTTGCCATGCCATTCCGCTTACTAGCTCATGATAGTGAAATTCTTCAGGCTGATCTCATGGCGGTTCCAATGCACATTAGTCAAGATAGATCTCGGTTGGTGGTGGATTATTTGTCGAAACCTGTATTGGCAGACGCTGCAATTGATATAATATCATCTTTGAAAAAAAATAGGAAATATCTTTATAAAGGGCTATTTTCACTTTTAATCAGCTGCGACACCGGCGATGCGGGCGAGTTAGTTGTGCATTGTGTTTTAATTCAGTTGTTAATGAATAGCCTTGAAACAAATCGAAATCTGCAAAACTTGAATAAAAACAAATATTTGCAAAGTATGACGGTAATCCAATTTCTTAAATATCTATCGCTAACTCATAATCCTGGTGCCGACAACGATCCAACAACTAATACCAAAGAATGTCTAGAAACAGATTTGGAAAAGACACCGCTTTATCCCATTATGAATGGAACGATTTACATTACACATTTCAAACGATATGAAGGTCAGTTGAACACACAAGTGTTGGAGAATTGTTTTCGAAGAGGTTGTGCTATTGTTTGTGAAAAAAACAATCGTTATCTTGATTTTGTCATACCTGTGAAAATGTTTGTTGAGAGCAACGATCCTTATTTCAGTTATATTGCGATTCAAGTCAAGAACAGAAAGACGATAACGACGGATCACCAAAATTTCGAGTCACACATCCACCAATTTTCACAAGACAATAATCTAGGAAACGACGCATTGGGAATATGGATTGAATTGGGATCCTCCAAAACGCAACCAAGCAATAAAACCAGCTCCAGTGGTGAAATATTTAACCAGAGAAGATCTAAAAGAATTAAAAATGAATTGGCAACTAGAAAAAGTAAGATCGCATATATGGTTCTCGATATGAAAAATTTCAAAATTGAAAACGAAATCAAAACCACATTCAAAGAGTTTTTGGGTCGTGAAAACTATCATTTTGGTGGATATTTAGCTCAAGGCGATACTGGCTTAAAAGATTTATATCGAAACAGCTTTTTGGATATTAAACGAAAATATAAAAATTCAATGCCTGCTTAATACGATTTAAATCGGGTATATAATACATCCCTATCATTAACTGTAATAAACACAACTATTTAATTTGCATATTAACAGCACAAAACAAAAAGGATAAAAAAATTCGACAACTTCTTTCACAAAAATATTAATAGTAATGTGAAAAAATTGAAATATTTATGAAATCAATTGGAATAGTTGTGAAGAAAACAAAGATGGTTGTGAGAAAAACTGTCATAGTTGTGAAAGAAATTGAGAAAACTGTCACAAAATTCAGCTGGTTGTGAAAGAATTAAAATCGTTGTGAAAAAAATTTTCAAAACTGTGAAAAATATTATTAGTGTTGATAAAAACATATAATTGTCAAGTTGTTGTGTGGCAGCCGCATCTTTAGATTCAGTCTCTACTGATCTTGCACAATTTGATGCTGGTCTGCTCCCGTCACGCTTGGGAGTTGTGCGGATTGCTTATTCTATCCGTACATTTCTTATCCGTATCTTGAATGCCGATAACTTTTGCTATAAATAGTCGGACCAAGTTCCGTTCGCATGACGAAACGAAAACAACGAATCATTCTTTTCTTTTTCTTCGACCATCCACCTCGAATCAGCATCTATCCCGCTTCCTTATAAAAGGGCTTGGCCATCTCTTCTACGTTCTTCTTTCCTATATACTTCTCTACCTTAATATATTATCATCCATTCGCTACAACAGTTTACGGTATTTACCCGTACAAAATACATATATTTTCTAATATCCCTTTCTATATTACCTATGATACAACACAAGTCTTTGCTTATTACTGGCTTCTGTCTATATACTATTATTGGTGAATAATATCTATTTACCTATTTATATTAAATGTTATTCCTTGATTCTTTTTTTCTTTTTAATTATTCCTATTTTCTTCCTCTTTTATATTGTAAAATAGATCCCCTTTTTGGGGCAATCAGTTCTTGTGGCTCGAACACCATTTGCGGCTAAATCCTCTTCAATTGTATCTTGATGTATTACGTCACAAAGTCATGTGTTAGTGAAATAACACAACAATCACGAGAGTGATCTGCTTGTTTGAGAGAGGTCATTTCTGCTTATACAGTTTGTGTAGTATCTTTAAACCATGCATTGGGTAAGCAGAAGACTCATTAAACAAACAATTACATCTTGGTAAGCGTGATCTCACTGCACTGACCTTTCGCCATAAACCTGAAGTGTATTCAAAAGGGTCCTGGTGGATGCGAGCGATGCTCATTTGGGTCTGGTGCTTTCGGAACAATAAGTGCTGATTTGTTTTCTTGCCTTTGCGTGGTCCTGCAGTTTTGCTGGATGTGCACCAGGCTGCATCCAGCAACAGATTTCATTATATCGGTGGCCTAATTAG